CCCACTAGCACTGCCACTGCCAATTCACTGCACTGGGATAATGAAGGGGAAAGGTTGAATTCTCAAAGTTTGTAAGGGGCAAAGTGTTATCTTTTTCAGCTTCCGCCCCTCCCCCTACATGAATTCTGCAAAATCCACAGAAATAGCCTCCCTTCCCTTCGAGAGATGATAAAGGGGTGTGCATCTCTGTTAGAGCTTGTTTTGTTTGAGGAGAGCATAGGGGTAAGAAAGTTATTTCAACTAAATAAATTTTTTTTTATTGATTCAATGCTCGTTTCTCTCAATTTCTGTCAAATTAAATATGATATTGGTGTTAGAATTTTTCCTATGACCCAGTAGATGGGTTACGCTACTCTAGAAATAATAGATGGAGTTCATCTGATTTCAACTTTTAATGTTAACTTAAAAATAAATACTAACTTCTAACAAATGTTTCTCTTGTCAAAAAAATAAAAATGATATTGGTGTTATATCTTGTCCACCTACTAAACACAGTTTAGTTTAATAACACCTTAAAAATACTTGCATTGTTTTTTTAATTTTTTTAATATTCATAGTTACATCAATTTTTATTTACTTTGAGATTAACCTCTCCTCTAATTATTGTAACAGGTTACTCACAAATCTTTTAATATATATTTAAAGGAATTAATTTTATGAATCATTGCATTTAACTTTTCCAAACCTGGAACCCCTATCCTCTTCCCCACCCTTCATCTCTTCTTCCCCACACGGACTCTTTCTTCACTGCTACAATAAAGGTGTCGGCACTTCTTTTAGGGCAAATTCTTATTATTTTAGTGTGAATCCCACTTCTACTCCAATTAGGTTTTTCAAAATTTTATAAATACTCATTTAAAATCAAAATGAAGGGAGTTTTTTTTTTTTTTTGGAGAGGCTTTTGACAGCTCCTTTTGAAACACTCTAGGAAATAAGAAATTTATCAATAATAAATGATAACAAATTTTAATTTTTTAGATTTGACTTTTTTTAAGATTATTTTTATTTGTTAATTAATATTTTTATATTCATAACTATGATTTTAGGTTTTAATATTTTTATTATAAACTAATTTAATCAACTATGACTACAATGTAACTAATCACTTTAATATAAATCTTGTGACTTTTAGAAGATTGATATTTCATGACGAGTATATATTATTATTCTTAATATTTTTCAATACTTGATTAATCATTAAAATTGGTTTGGTGAGCATAATTGAAACCAAAAAGAGATTTTATATAATAATTTCTAATAATATAAACTATAAATTGAATAAAAATAGATATGGACTAACATGATTTGTGTATCATTAATTATAAGTGAACTTAATTTTTTAGTAAACTAGAAAATTTAACAAAATATATGCATTTTCATTTGTTTAAATTCACATAGAAATATAGTGAATTAATAGGGGAGAATAAGATTGGTATAACTTGAAAAAGTATATTGAATAAGATAAAAAATCTCGTTATCGCATAAATAATTAACATCTTGAAAGCATAATAATTTAAAATCTTTATCGATTTGTTATGATAAAGTTGAATACTATGGTACCTTATTTCTTTGTGATTTTATTTTAAATTGTTATTTTCTTTTAAATAGATGAGAATAGAATTGGTATAATTTGAAAAAGTATATTGAATAAAATAAAAAATCACATTATCACATAAATAATTAACATCTTGAAAGCACAATAATTTAAAATCTTTATTGATTTATTATGATAAAGTTGGATACTATGGTACCTTATTTCTTTATGATTTTATTTTAAATTGTTATTTTCTTTTAATTAGTTTTATTAGAAATTCATTTTTTTAATTATTTAAATAATTCTAAAATTAATTATTTTTAATACTTTTTTTTTTTGAACAGCAAAGAAAATGTATATAATCAAACTGAGTACAAGGGGTACTCAACCCTTAAAGTTATACAAGCAACAATTATCCAATGTTAGTCATAATCTATTTAGAAATAATATTTCATTCATGACTTTATTAATTGAGCAACTTGTGCACTTGTTAATAGTGAATTTAACATATCTATTTTGAAGTGTGACTGTGAGAACTTCAAGTGATACCAAACAAAACCAACTTTCTAAAACAACTAATAAAATGAAACTGTGGGAGTATTTACCATCCAGTCTACTAAAGAGAAGTATCCGGTTTAGTAAAGAGAGGACTGATCCATGAAGACAATATTAAAGATTTTTTTCATTAGTATTTTAAAAATTATTAGGAGATCTTGATTTTAAATTAATTGTAAGCTCAAAGCTGGTGAAAGCTCTATGTTTTCTTCTTCTTTTCTTCTTCCAAAATGAGAAATTCATAAGTTTTCCATAGCTTTAAAAAAAAAAAAAACAAAGGCAATTACTTATTACTACCATTGCATTTTTTTTAACAAGGGGTAAGGGGAAGGGGAATTAGGGGTCGAACACTATACGCTCTGGTAGTATTTCCACTTACGGAGCATAATGGTACCACTCCACCCATCATGTGGAGAACTTTTTATACTAGTTTAATGATTTGAATGAAGTGTGAAAGAATAAGTAATAACCCTATCTACAATAATTAAAAGAGATAGCTATTATTATTATTATTATTATTATTTTAAATTTTAAGTTACAAAGATACAACTCTTTTTCATTTCTTTACACGTTTCCTTACATGTTTAAACCAAACTTAAAATTTTTAACTCCAATTAAAATGAAAAATTATTACTAAATCTTTTAAGTTAATGGTACCAGACTTAATTAATTTAAACATGGTTAGACCTCTAATTTGGTCACTGAACTATTGTATAGATTTCTAATTTGATCCCGAAACTAAAAAAATCCTTGATTTTGTTCCTAAACTATTATACGGACCTCAATTTAGTCTCTACTGTTTATCAATTTATCCAAAGTTGGTCTCTCTGTAACAAAAAAAAAAAAAAAAAAATGACGTATCCGTTACTTAACAGTAAAAAATAGTAATTTAACGGTCACATGTCACGTTAATAACAAGATACATCAATTAGTTTTTATACGAAAGAACTAACTTGGGATAAATTGACAAACAATAAGAACCAAATCAGGATATATACAATAATTTAAGAACCAAATTAAGGATTTTTTGGTTTAGGAACCAAATCGAAATCCGTATAATAATTTAGGAACTAAATTGCGGATTTAACCTTTACAAATAGACTATCCAAGGCTAAGAGAAATTCTCCAAGGGGGTGCCTTCACTTTAAGCATGGCCATTGGGGCCACATAGGTG